ATAATGTCCAGCGCAATGCGCTCCATTGGGGCTCCTACCCGGACAGTTCCCATGGGAGCTTGTGGTGTCTTCTGGGGTCGGGTTCTGGATGCACAGCTGGTACAAGTACGGCACCAAAGAGCGACGTCTTCCCTCATGTGATACCAATAGAATCGGGTTCGTAGCCTGGCCACAGTCCTCTCGACACCAAAATGTCCGCCCACTGGCCCCTCGTGCATCCGGCTCATCACTTCTGGTTGTAGCTTGCGTGGAAGTACGATCTGGGGATAGAACTGGGTCTCGTCAAGGCAGTAGAAGCGACGGACCAGAACTCCATCTCTGAAGTAGAGCCGTTTCCATTGAGCCCAGTATGTCTTAGTGGCCGGGCTGCATGGCGAAACAGTAGTCCATGGGGGGCGCTCACTGCTGGCCTCCATCCAGGCGCGTATGGGTGCAATGTCTGCATCAGCGTCCTGGGCTTGGCTCAGCTCCCCCATGGTCCAGCCATGAAACAGAGAAGCAGTATCAAGAGTTTTAGCCACATATACTTTCTCAGTCAGCTTTACGGTGTGTGTACCAGTGGAAATGTTCTGGTGTTGTATGTCTGAGCTGGTGTGAATTATCTGTTCTGAGACGTCTGTGTTGGTAGGAGTGTTCTGACATAAAATGTCTGACATAGTAAGAGCAGTTTGGTCTAAAGTCTTTGTGTCTGGTGTAGGGGTGTTATGACCTACCCCCACTGGACACACCGCTGTAGTAGCCGGTTGTCCCTCCACCCTCACCGGACTCAGCAACAGGGAGCTGGTGTCAGAGTCCAACTCACATTGGACCGCCTGATGACTGGTCCCCCCGAGATGCTTGGAGGGGTCCAGCACTCTGCATGGACAGGACTGGCGACAGGGTCTTCTGGAGAGACTATCAGCATTGGTGTGCACTCGACCTGGACGGTGGATGATCTCGAAGTCGTACTTGGCAAGCTTCTCGAGCCATCGAGCTAACTGTCCCTCTGGCTCTTTCATTTTTGTTAGCCAGCGCAGGCTGCTGTGATCTGTGCGCACTTTGAAAGGCCGTCCGAGGAGGTACTGGCGAAAATGGGACGTGAAATCCACGACAGCTAGTAGTTCACGTCGTGTGGTGCAGTAGTTTTGTCCAGTTCTTGATAGCTTACGGCTGCCATATGCCAGCACACGTTCCACGCCCTGTTGCATCTGTGACAGCACCGCGCCGATGCCTGTGTCGCTGGCATCAGTGTCTAGTATCATTTCACCATGGTCAAGTGGATAGCTAAGAACAGGGGCAGAGGTGAGTCGACATTTTAGCTCGTCGAAAGCTGCTTGGTGCTCAGCATGCCACTGAAAATGTGCGTTCTTCTTGGTCAGGTTGTGCAGGGGTTCGGCTATAGAGGCAAAATCTTTCACGAACCGGCGATAATAGGAGGCCAGGCCGATGAAGCGTCTGACCTCCTGGATGGACGTAGGTGTAGGCCACATCTGAACTTTTTGAACTTTGCTGGGGTCGGTAGCCACACCATGCTCGGACACCACATGGTCAAGATAAGCAACTTCGCGGTGAAAGAGGCAGCATTTGGCAGGTTTCAGTTTTAAGTTAGCTTGTTGAAGTCTATAGAATACCTGGCCAAGCCGTTGCAGCATCCCCGACACGTCCCTAGCCAGCACAATGATGTCGTCCAGGTAGACCAGGCAGGTGTCCCACTGCATGCCAGCCAGGACGCGGTCCATCAGACGCTGGAACGTCGCCG